ATAAGTGATAAGATTATTTATCACATCCTCCACAATCTCACTTCTATCAAGAATCTGCATCTACGGATAATTCCTTTTATAAATAAAGGTTTAAGTTTCTCAAGTATACACTTTCGACTTCTTACTTTATTAACTTCTTTGTTACCCCTTGCGGTGTCTCTTCCATAAACTCCCGCGAACACGCTGATCCATACTAATCTTGGTTAGGCATTCTCATCCACTCAGATTGATCGATCTATAACATCAATTGATCACTTACTATTTATTATTATTATTTTTCTGTATGATCTCCTTTAATTTGATTAATTGATTTTGGGTATTGAGAAGTTCAAGAGTCAGCACGAACTTACATTTAGCAATACGGAGGTATATATGCCCCACGTCAATTCCAAATTTTTTAATGATAATAAATTTAATTTTATGTATAATACATCATTTTTAAATTTTATCTCCATCATATTATATAGGGTTGGATGTTTCTAATATTGTAGGAGATAAAATTATTTCTTAAACATATAAAAGTGTGTGAAGCTCATATGAGGTTATCTAAAAAGAAAAGAGAAAGAAAAAAAAATATGGGTATCACAAACTTTTATGTCTGTAGCAGATAAAATTATGTTCTACAACATAAGAAATATTGAATCCTATAAATTATGAATAATTCTTCATTCACGCGATCTTTTTTTTTTTTTTTGTCTGGAGACAACCATGTTGTCTGTTTTTTTTTTACTAAGAAATATATATTGTCCTAGGACTTGTCCTCCTTAGTATATCACGTACCATAGACACATCTAATTGTGCACCGAGTACATGCTTGCACAAAGGTGCACAAGTAGTTGTATATGCTCAATGCATAAATATTTGCATCTATGATCAATAGAAAAAAAATTCTATCTCGTGGCAGTTGCATATGGATCATGTGCGCGACTTGTTATATAATAGGATTTAAGATAAGTTAATTAATGTAGAAATCACACCATAATAGGATTAAATAACAAAAAATTCATTGTCTGGTATTACGATTTAGTAATTTTGGAGAATTTGTAGCTATTAATCAATTCACATAAATGACTTTCATTGTCTGGTATTACGATTTAGTTATTTTGGAGAATTCGTAGATTTCTTATCAACATATTTACGTATTTTCAATTCCATTATCACGTGAGTGGATCTAAGTATCATTTTTGTATACTTACAAAAAGATACTCATAACTCTACCACTACTTCAACACATCCAGTTGTTGATAGCCACTATTTGCATTCACATGTAAATGGTCAAATATGTATTTACAATACCATTAACAATTACAAACAACTTGATTATTGCATTAACGATATTTAGGGTTTTTCATGATGCTAAACTTCATACCATAGTAAGGTTAAATAGCATGTGATTCCTTGACTAGTAAAATTTACTCAAAATTCAGTCAAAATTCTCAACAAAAGAAAATTTTGATGAAATTTTTTAGGGAAACATAATTCTATCGAAAATTTCCAATGTAATTTTGTTTTCAGTCGAAAATTCTAGAGAATAAAAAATTTGGTCAAAATTTTTCAATATAATTGGTTTCTGTAGAAAATTTTAACTAAAACTTTTTTGTTGAAAATTTCGTTCGAATTTATTTTTCGTCCACAATTTTCGTCACTAATTGTGACTAAATCTTCTTTCGTCTTTATTTTCGACGAAATTTTTTTCTGTCTCTATTTTTAGTGGAATTCAATTTTCGTAAAAAATTCATCACTATTTTTTGACAATATATTTTTCATTGATAAATTTCACCAATAATGAAGCATTTTAGTAGTGATTACACATGTATAGTTTTGACCATCGTTGAATTTTTTAAAGATATAATATTAATTTGGGTTGAGGCCAAACTTATTTGCATTTGGAGGTGATCAATGCTACGCCCCACCCCAACAACTTTATTTTTACATTTTTTTCTTAATTTTTTTATATTTTTTATTTGGATTCATGTGCTACAGATCTCAACTAATTTGAAATAAATATGTTGTTAATATTAATATTGATGAGGTTAAAAAAATACCACTACCTAATAGTTTATTTAATAAAAATACCGCTATTCTCCTCCACAACCACAAGGATCACAACACCAGTTATTTATTTATTTTTTAAAGGAGAATATTAATGTCAAGTAACAGGATATTAATAATTTTTCTTACACAAACAGATTTTAACAGGTCCTACCATAAAAGAAAAATAAAAAACAAAAAAAATGTCTACACGTTTCTCAATGGATCAGTAGAAAATTTGTTAGCCATCATGTTACTTGACATATAATTATAAAACGATTGTTGCTAGCCCTCCCTTGCAGCGCTCATGCGCCACATGGCATAATTTCATCCTTTCAATTTCCAGCTCCCCCTCCCATAAGTACTCCTGAACCCAACCTAATAACGAACAAAATTAACATTAGTTTAACAATTAAAGTTTGTTTTATAACCAATAAAAAGTAAGAAAATTATACTAACCTAAATATTATATAAGTCAATACAAATTCTAATTAGGATTAAAAAACGACTACACGTAGTAATTAATAGTAACTAATAGTTAACAGTCAAATAATAATTCACAAACTATTAAGAATTATAGAGAGAGCCAAAATCCTTTGTAAGGGATATCATCACTAATAAGCCAAATGACAAACTATATGATAAATTGATTGACATCATATCTCAACCAAAAATATTAAAACAATAAATTTATGAGTCTTTCACAGTTATATGATTCTCAATTCATATCTAACCGATATGCGATTTCATCATTACTAACACTTAATATTTTCAACACAAACTATTACAATAACTCGCTCATATCTAATTATTACTAACAACTAATAATTTAAAGTTACATGTCACTAAATATCTCTAATCGCTAATTGTTAATTGTTAATCATTAATCACTAATTCGTTATCGTTAATGGCTAATCACCAATTCGTATCATATATAGCTAATTGCTAATCACTAATTCCAATTCTCAATTACTATATTATTAATCAACTTAATTAAAAAAAACACTAACCTAAATATTTTTTTAGAGGAACGTTATTCGTACAACCTAAAAGTTTTACAATATCTTACAACTTATCTTATTACCATTGATTTCAGTCAATTCAACAATTATTTATAATTTATTGAAAATTAATAATTAATAATAAACATGACCAGATAAATTATAACTATTGGATTAATGAAAATCAATAGTGAAAAATATAAGTTGTAAGAGGTTGAAAAACTTTTAAGTTGTAAGTACAATGCTCTTCAATTTTTTAATCCTAAAAGATTAGCTATAATAAAATTAGCCTAAATAAATAATAATTAAATTTTATTTTATAACTGATAAATTAATAAGAAAAAAATTACAAAATAATAATTAAACATTTTTCAATCACATATCCGTAATTACTAATCGCTAATCATTAATCACTAATTCCCGATCATGTATTGCTAGTCGTTAATCGCTCACTAATTCCTAATCATATATCGTTAATTGCTAATCGCTAATCACTAACTCCCAATTCTAATTATTACATTATCAATCAACTTAACTAAAAAAAACATTAACCTAAATAATTTTTTTAATCATGAAATATTACGGAAATAAAATCATCCTAAATAAATAATTATTAAATTCATTTTATAATTGATAAATTAATAAAAAATTATAAAATAATATCAAAATATTATTCAATCACGAATTCTTAATCATATATCTGTAATTGTTAATCACTAATTCCTAATAACATATAAAAAATTACTAATTGATAATTTCTAATCACATATCACTACTTCCTAATTTTTAACTAGTATATTATTAACCAACTTAATTAAAAAAAGATAGAACACTAACCTTAAATGGAATATGAAAACTAAAAAGAGTTGGAGTGAGAATGAAAATATATGTGAATAAAAATGAGAGAGTTTTGAAGTGAAAATAGGAGGGTTTGGGTGTTAAGTGTGAGATAAGGGTGCTTATTTACTGTTTTTAGCTGATCAATATCATTACTTTGAATTACTTATATCTCTATATTTTTTTAAATTGAATTATATCTGGAATTACTAATAATTATTTGAGATGTAATTTGATTTAGCAATATATTATTCATAGTAAAACGTCAGAAACTTTTACATTAATAGTAATGAATCATTCTACCAAAAAAATAAAAATAAAAATGATGAAAAAGGCAACGCTACATGACTAATCAAATGGATTTGGAAATGTAAACCTTTTAATTTCATCAACTGCGCACTAACTGCATTGATATATTGTAAACACTCTCCTCCTCTAGTAACCTGGAATCCTCTCCCTGATACATTTGGCACATTTGCCCGTATGACTCATAACCACGTCACATATTTATTTATTTATTTATTCTGATTTCGCACGAGTAATCTTTGTTCTAAGAATTTTCTTTTTACAGTGGTTTGAAGTTGAACTATCAACTATGGAAGTTCTCGAATTCAAGGGTCTACAACAAACCAAACCACTCAGAATTTCTCCACATTTTCGTTTTGTAGTACTATGTTTGTATAACGTAATCGTCGGATGATGGGGTTTTTTTATTTTATTTTTTAAATAATGTTATCCGGGCTTGGGCAAAACATTAAATGTCATTTAATTGCTTATCAAAAAAAAAAAAGTTTCATTTAATTAATTGGATTGCACGGAGAAAAATGGCCATGGTGTATAGTAGTGTAATGTGAGTTGTAGCTATCAGATTTTGAGAGTTGAATAATGAAAATTGGTTAATAGGGGCCGGTGCCGATTTAGAATATGCGGGTCATAAATAATTCGAAAGGGACCAAAAGTTAATGAAATAATGGACCACAAATCGAATGAGAACGACATCACACAATTTAGCACATTACCTACCGCAAATACAATACATTATATTAACACACAAAGAAATATTTCTTGCTTACCGAAAGAAAAATGCTTCTCATTAATTTTTTTTATATCTTTATAAATGTAAAAATTACTGTGATTATATTTATATTATTACAGTGGTGGTGGAGGTTAATATTATAGCTTGTTTTGTGTTTGTGCTTTCCAAGTCAGATGACGCTGTCGCGTTGGCTTTGTGAGGAAACAAACAAAAGTTTAACCTAAGAGGTTACAACTGTTCCGCGCGTGCAGGGATACAAAAGAAACCCCAAGCTGAGTCGTCAAAACCACTTTTGGTTTTTTTCGTTTTCGTATTGATTTTGGAAGATTCCAGTGTTGGTTGATGGGGATCCGGTTATCATCTCAGGCATCGGGTTCCGATTCCGGTTCGGGCGTGTCGTCGAAATCGAGTTTGGGCGAATTGCCAGAGAGTTGCGTGGCTCTGATGATGGGGTACATGGATCCTCCCCAGATTTGCATGTTAGCGTCCTTGAATCGCACCTTTCGTGGTGCTTCCTGGGCCGATTTTGTTTGGGAATCCAAACTGCCACCTAATTATGATGTTCTTCTCCGCAAAATCTTCAACGATTTTCCCTCCGATTTGGGTAAGAGAGGGATTTATGCCACGCTTTGCAGGGTTAATTCTTTTGATGGAGGCACCAAGGTAACAACTATTAATCTTTTTTTTTTTTTTTGTATTTTATTTTTTTACATATATACAAAAACAACATTTATTTTGAACTCAAGTTGAAGAGAAAAGTTTTTTTTATTTTTTGGTCTGCAGAAAGTTTGGCTGGATAGAAGTATGGGTAAGCTATGTTTGTCCATATCAGCCAAGGGACTGTCAATAACGGGGATTGATGATCGGAGATATTGGAACCATATCCCCACTGAAGAATCTAGGTGAGATTCTTCATGGTTATCTTCTTAGCTTATAGAAATTATGTTAAATTACTAAAAAAAAAAAAAAACCAAATAACCCTCTACATATTAAAATTAAAAACCTTAATAACCCTAACAAATACCAAAGTTGTAACCAGTTCCCAATATATATACCATAGTAAAAAGAATACCTGATAATGCTAATACCCATATTGTATATCCTGTTATTCCTATCCCATTTCCCATCCTTCATGCTGATCTTTTTCTTTGCTAACTTTGTCGTTCGTAATTTTTTAAAACAGTGCTATCTTTGCGGTTTTCCCCCCCCTTGTTTCAAGACGTTGGATATTTTATATATTCAAAGAGTGTCACTTTTTTGGCTACAAGTTTTTTTTGTCAAAAGTTAATTCCTATAGTATTGGAGTTTTAGTGAACTATGCACTCTATGCCTTTATTCTTTTCAAGAAAGGTATTTAGTGAGATGATGAAATCATTTCAATTTTCAACCATAGGATGGAGTTCAATGAACTGATCCTTTTCAAGAATTTTTTTTGCTGTGTGAACCTATGTTACACCGGACACGACACGACACTTTAATTATAAAAAATGCTAGATTTCGACACGTTGGGACACGTTTTGATATTAAATAATATTTTTAATTTATGTAGTGTATATTATATTTAATATTCAATAATTTAACAAAAGATGAAGTTAACTTTATAATATCCATCAATTTTGCAAAGAAACATAAGATATCCCAAATATTTATATTAAACTCAATAAAATGGTAATCATAATCCAACGAATCTAATAGTTGGAACTAAAAACGTTATGCGACTACCAAAAAAAAAACCATAACGCAATGCAACCTTCGAACCCTTTTTCGAGTCTCTGCAACGTGTGTTGGAGTGTCTGAGTGTTGGGAAGTGTCGGACATGACACGTTAGGTTTGTTGGTGCATCATAGGTATGAAGTTAAAAGGGGCTAACCGTGAAAATAACAATTATGTATTTAAGTTCTAGTGTATTATGACCTTGGAAATTTTGCAACTGTTCAGTCCGAGGTGATGGACTAAGTGTTTACTACGCGGTCCGAGGTGGAGTGATTTTTTTTGTGTGAACCTAGTTTCCCTGGTGTTCCATCCACGATGTTTAAGTGGGTGTTCCGCCAAATGTTACAGTGGAAAAAGGGGTGGTGGTTCTCTTGCAAAGTTTATGACACTTAAGCTAGTGTTTGTACTTTGTAAGAGGCGGAGAATACAAAAGGCTAAAGATCCTTGCCTTGTGGCTGAATATTCCATTGCATATATAGGTGGTTGTGAGGAATATTCTAGAGTGCATACCATTGAGTGGACGGTTACTACAGGTGAACGTGCATTGCCAATTGTGAGGAAAAGTAAGTATGTCTGCATAGTGGAAGGTGGTTGTACGGAGAATGAATATTGATTATGTGAACATTTTCTCCTGTAGTGGGAGTGGGCCACATAAAAGTCCCAAACCACTAGTCGAGAACAATGGCTATTTGCATCTTTTCCCGTGTTCGGTATTCTTGTGGTTGTACAGTATGTTCTAAATTCACTTATTATGTCAAACTTGTAGCGTTTGGTTTTGTTTTGTAGCAGCTGAATTTTGTTATTGATTTGTGCTGTTGTGAAGGAAAGCATGTAGACATTGATGTAGATTGCACTTATTTTTCTATTGTTATTCTGATTGATGATGCAAGATGTGAAGTTCAAAGGCCTGTAGTTTAATTGCCAAAATAATAAGTCTAGTTTAAATGTTGATAACATTAATAGAGCTTTGGGGTAAAGCCAGACTTATCTCCATGTATTGCAGATTCAGCACTATTGCATATCTCCAGCAAATTTGGTGGTTTGAAGTGGATGGGGAAGTCGATTTCCCACTTCCAGCTGGGACATATAGCTTATTCTTCAGAATACATCTAGGGCGAGCCTCCAAGAGGTTTGGGCGAAGAGTCTGCAACACAGAGCATGTTCATGGGTGGGACATAAAGCCTGTACGATTCCAGTTATGGACTTCAGATGGACAATACGTTGCATCCCAGTGTTTTCTGAAAGAACCGGGCAAATGGAGCTACTACCATGCTGGTGATTTTGTGGTTGAGGATGGCAATGCATCAACAAAAATTAAATTCTCAATGACTCAAATTGATTGCACACACACCAAAGGTGGTCTCTGTTTAGATTCTGTGCTCATATATCCAAGTGAATTCAGAAAGGTTAAAGCATTTTTGAATTAACACTTAACCTTTGTGATAAATGTATAGTAGTATACTAGTATTTATATATATATAGAGCCTTAGGGCCGCGTCAGGAGGTATAGAGAATCGAGTTTTTAATATGGTTCTTTTAGGTTTAAGAATTTTGTAGGAGTCAGGAGTCGATGTATATATGTGTAATATCTGTTGATTAGTCTGGGAAGTTCTATGATAACCTTTTACGATGAAGAATATTGTATTCTCGTGGCAAGTGGAATAAATATGACCATTTAATGTCAATGAAACTTGGATCAAGCTGGAAGGAAACGAATAAAGTGGACTACTTTTATGGTTTATGGGATATTGGATTACTTTAATTGCTATAGGATTATGATTCGCACCACTTTTCACAATTCACATGAAGGTGCATATGTGGTGCGTTTTCAATGGCCAAAGCGTTGAAGAGATGATTGTAAATTAATATATGTGAAGAGAACATAAAAGAGTTAATGGTTTCAACAGGTAAGAAGCTTGATTTATTGGAACAAGATTACTAATCAAATGGTTCGGAAAAAAAGAAGAAGAAAGTTAATGCATCCTGTTTGTCTAATTTATTTTACGGATTTTACCAAGTTTCTAAACATAACTCTGTTGGTTTAAGTGGAAGAGACCCGGTGATTTTGATTTTTGAGTGTGTACTTTGAACATATAGTTTTGGGTTTTATTTTGAAATTTGTGTATGGAAAAAAAAAAAATCCGTGGAAAGATGTTCTTATCTTTTGTGTCTGATCATACATTAAGAAATTAATTTTTCATTTTCTAAATGAGAGAATAATCTTAAAAAAAAAAAAAAAAAAAAACCCAAGAGACAATCAATTAACCAAGATATAAGTCTTACAAAATACATTGGTCACAGTTTATAATATTGATGATGGCTTGTAGTAGAATCGGATGAGAGAAAATTAATAGACAAACGAGAGTACGGGACACTGTACAAAGGCAAGATACAACGTGGCCATGTTACTGGATCAAGCGAATCATTAAATTATCCACCCACATGTTGCATCTTGAGGCCTTGAGTGATTCTTTGGAAAACGGCATATCAGCCCAACTTTGATAGGAAAGCACCGTATTAGTTACATTTTGTTAACGTTATGCCAAGTCAAAGTAGATTTTAGAATTTTTTTCTTTGTAGTGCAGTCAAACCCGCATCCGGGATGGATGAGATCAGTCCCGCACTCTCCATGGACTAGAAGCCTTCTCTGCGCCAGCAATCCTGCATGGCCTTTGGATGGGAATGGTTAATTGTCCATTAGTCCCGTATGAACCATGGATGGGACATGTACTGGATGCAGACCTAGGAGTCCCGCATCTGATATGGACGCGAATGGTCTAGTACTCCTCAAGTACGGGACTAGTCCATTCTCAACTGTCCACCCTACCAAACACTCACCCAAAACCCTTATATATATATCCCCTCGGCAATGAAAATATCATGCTAGTGTCATTTATTTACCCTTCTCCCACCATTTGCAGCCTATTTTTTTCCAGTTTTCTGAAACATATCGATAACAAACACAAGTTTTACTTTGTTCAGTGCTCATTTTTTTAACCTTGTTGTGTTGTGTTTTGTATCTTATGTTCTATTTTTAATTTTTATTTCTAATACTATTATGGATCAATTTCATTTATTCGTATATTACAATGGTTCTAAAAATGTAGCTGCATGTGGTTTGACCTTTGAAGGAGAAAAAAGAGCCAAGTATATTGTCTGAGGTATGTCCGTTGAAGACTTAAAGGAGAAGATCCGTCGAAAGTTGAAGCTCCAACAAAATCAAATAATATCTTCGTTGACGAGTAGAGTCTCCAGTGAAAACCGCAAATATGTGGGGTTTGATATATCTGATGATGAGGGCGTGAAAGTTTTCATTAGAACATTCGTGGATAACTCTGTCTCAATTCCTTGAGTTATATGTGGATATTGATACATCAGAGGATCTATCAATACCGATTCGTGCACTGGACCTTAATAGTCAATCATAGTATATATCATTTTCTGCACCCCAAGCTACACAATCAAATGTTGCTCACAGAGAAGATAACAAATATATGGTAGATAGAGAACCTGAGAATGAAGAACAAGAGGAAGATGAAGATACTCTATTGGAAAATGACCATGATAAGAATGATAGCGATGCAGTTGATGAACATCTTGGTAATTTATTGTCACAAGAGACTGGTACTCGTACGCCTAATCCTGCTATTTTTCCATAGTCATCAAGTTCGTTAGTGAGTTTTATTATTATATTTTGAATTTTTGATTGGTTACCATGCTTTTGTTAAAACGTATTATGTATGAATGTGCAGATGTTGAACCATTCTGGAATTCAATTCCACATTATGAGGCTATTAATTGAGATTACCAGCATGAAAATATACTAGATGTTGAAGGCTTAGGTCGGGATTCGTGGACAAGAGGAGATCCATTGTTTGTGAAATAAGAGCTCAGGTCCAAGCACGATGTTCATGCCGCAATAAAACATTACTGCATGAAAACTCATCAAGACACTATAGTGGTTGAGAATACTACGACCAAGTTGTCTATGAAATGTCGAAACCACAAAAAAGGTTGCAGTTGACGAGTAAGAGCAGTTAAACCTCTGAATAGCAACACTTGGGTGGTTAGTAAATGGGTTGGATATCATAGTTGTGTCAACCACTTCCTTTCCCAATATCACAGACAACTTGATTCTGAACTTATTTCCACATCCATATTAGGTATGATGTGCAATACTATTTGCTCGTATTGATAATTATTTGTGTTTATTAGTGAACGTAAATAACATTCCTAATATAGCGTGTGTTGTGTATGGTATTGCAAACATGGTTAAAGTCCAACCATCGGTACCTGTGATCCTGATACAAGAAAGGGTGACCAGTCTCTTTGGATTTCATGTCTCTTATAGGAAGACATGGAAGACAAAACAAAAAGCAATTGCTAAGATTTACGGTGATTGGGATAAGTCATTTGCTTTCCTGCCAAGATGGTTCCAGTACATGTTGAATTTCCCCCTGAGATCTATGTATCATATTCAAACTAAAGAATATATCGTCAATTGACAAATTGTTGATGAGATTCGGGTTTTCCAACATGTTTTTTGGACTTTCAATCAATGTGGTGAGGCGTTCAAATGGTGCAAACCAGTTATACAGGTGGACGATACACATCTATATGGTAAGTATAAAGGAATATTATTGATTACTACAACACAAGATGAAAATAACGAAGTGCTGCCAATTGCATTTACAGTTGTTGAAAGTGAAACATACACATTAAAATAAAATAAAATTTAATTAAGTAACTAATTAGAATTCCTAATTAATTATCTCAATAATTATAATTACTAATTAAATTACCATTTAATTAAATTACTAATTAATTAAATCACTAATTACTATTATAAGGTTTTACAAATAACATACATATTACAATAATGTTTTTAATTAAGTAACTAATTATAGTTCCTAATTAATTATTTCAATAATTATAATTACTCATTAATAAAATCAGTAACTAATTAAATTACTAATTAATTAAATCACTAATTAGGCTTCTATCCTAAGGTTTTATAAATAACATACACATTAAAATAAAATATATTTAATTAAGTAACTAATTAGAATTTCTAATTAATTATTTCAATAATTATAATTACAAATTAATAAAATCAATAAAAAAAGATAGAAAGTACTTGTAGTGGTAACAACGAAGTGGTAGAGCGAGAAGCTTTGACAAAAAATCTAGAGAGAGGCCAAAGAAAAAATGAATAAAGAGAGAATGAAAATTTTATAGAAATAGTAAAAAGTGAAAAAATGACCGAGGGAATATATGGGGGGCGGGGGTGGGCGGTGGGGGTGGGTGAGATAAACCAACTTATCTCGTACCTACATCATGCGAGATTGCCACGTCTGCAACTATTCCCGTCCATATCAAATGCAAGATTACTATTTGTGCATGTCCCGTCCAAAGGCCTTGCGGGACTGCTGTGCTGAGAGGGCTTCCCATCCATGGAGAGTGTGGGACTGATCCCGTCAATCCCAAATGCGGGTTTAACTGCATTACAAAGGAAAAACTTCTTAAATCTGCTTTTACTCGGCATAATTTTTGCCAAATGTGACTAGTATGGTGCTTTTGCCGAAACATGGCAGACTTGATCCTTTAATATTTACTGTGTAACATTTATCCACTAATTATTTATACTAGAATACGTAGGCGAATCCTGATATTCTAGAAATTTGTACAAGATCCTCCTACGTATTTTTAGGATAAATGAACTACCAATACACTAAACTTCAGTGCATCGGTAGCACCGAGGATTTTTTCTCCACTAAGAATCCATAGTCCAAGGTATGCTCGTAGTCTCCTAAGTATGCTAAACCTACCAGAACGAAAAAAAATAATGTGTAGCCCTCGCAAGAATCTCAATAGAAAACCAATTCCAATGAGAATACTCACTCTATACTATAAATAGGCCCATAAGACATTTAAATTCAATTTGCATTTCTGCCAGAACAACCTAAAATATGATCAAAAGATTTTCCCATTAGTGTCTCTCATAAATATTAGCATCTGTTATCAGAGTGAAATGAAGGATAAATCAAATTATGCATGAAATGTCAAACTCATCGGTAGACCTACATAGGCGCCAATGTCTGCAAGTGTAGATACAAAAAAAATTGAACTTTGAAATCATTCCAACCTATTTGAATTGAGGTGTAAGTGAGTCGCAACTATTGATTATGTCCAAAGACTAGAGCGTTGTGTAATTGCTCCACGTTTCAGGAGGTAGGAATGCTAAATTCTCACACCTATGAATAATAAGATTTCGCAAAGAAGTGGGTAGACCATATGTTGGAATTGCAGTGAGAGATGGAAAACCGTTGAGTTCTAAGCGTTGAAGACAATGGCTGCTTGGAATCATTTTAGGCAGAGACAATAACATATCATTGTATCCGAACTTGATCCCTCTAGTAAGACAATCACAATCTTCACAAATTGTTAATTCTTAACTGAGGAGAGCTGATAAGTGTCAAAGACACTATGTTTTTAATGTCAAATATAGTTCAAATAATAATTAATATGATTAAAAATATAGTGTTAATTAATAAAATCTTAAAGGATATTAAAAATGCCAACAGCTAGATAAGATTCTAATCCTTTTTATTGTTTTAGGTTATTTCATACTAAAAAGATCAAACTACTAATCTGATGAGAAGAAGGCAGTTGGCACCGGCTAAAGATAAAGGAAAAATAGGAA